GGTCTCATCCATTCCTTCATCCATCCATGGGTCTGTCCATCCCTTCAAGGTCTCATCCATTCCTTCATCCATCCATGGGTCTGTCCATCCATCCCTTCATGGACTCATCCATTCCTTCATCCATCCAGCTTTTCATCCATGGATCCTTGCATGGATTGATCTATGGATAGATCTCTTTGTCCATCCATCCATCCATGGATCTGTCCATCTCTCCATGGATTCATCCATTCCTTCATCCATCCATCCATCTCTCCATGGATTCATCCACTCCTTTGTCCATCCATCCATGGATCCATCCATCTTTCCATGGATCCATCCATTCCTTCATCCATGGATTGATCTATGGATACATCCATCTCTTCCATCTCTTTGTCCATCCATCCATCCATGGATCTGTCCATCTCTCCATGGATTTATCCATTCCTTCATCCCTTCATCCATCCATGGATCTCTATGGATTCATGCACTCCTTTGTCCCTCCATCCATAGATCCATCCATCTTTCCATGGATCCATCCATTCCTTCATCCAGCCATCTATTCATCCATGGATTGATCTATGGATCCATCCATCCTTCCTTCTATCTCTTCATCCATCCATGGATCTGTCCATCCATCCATCCATGGATTTATCCATCGCTCTGTCCATCCATCCATCTGTCCATATCTCCATGGATTCATCCATTCCTTTGTCAGTCCGTCCATCCATCCATCATCCATCCATCCATCATCCATCCATCCATCCCTCCATCATCCATCCATCCGTCCATCCCTCCATCCTTCTCCCATCCATCATCCATCCATCCATCCATCATCCATCCATCATCCATCCANTAATAATAATAATAATAATAATAATAATAATAATAATAATAATAATAATAATAATAATAACAATAATAAACAACTCCTTTCATCATTCCTGGATTATTCCTCTCTTCCTAAACCATCTTATCCCATAAAAACTCCCAATTTCCCAGATCCCAGAGCAGGAAGCTGGGATTTTTCCCATTTTTTCTGGGAATATCCCAATCCTGGGATATTCATGGTTCTATTTTAATTCCCAATTCCTGTCCTGATGATCTTTTCCAAGCTAAACCATTCCATGATTTATGACTCTGCTACAATTCCATCTCCATTTTTTGGAGATTCCTGGATTATTCCTCATTTCCTAAACCATCTTATCCCATAAAAACTCCCAATTTCCCAGATCCCAGAGCAGGAAACTGGGAATTTTTCCCATTTTTTCTGGGAATATTCCAACCCTGGGGATCCTCATGGTTCTATTTTAATTCCCAATTCCTGTGCCCAAGAAACAGGGATAACCCTGACAATCTTTTCCAGGCTAAACCATTCCATGATTTTATTTGCTACAATTCCATCTCCATTTTTTGGAGATTCCTGGATTATTCCTCATTTCCTAAACCATTTTATCCCATAGAAATTCCCAATTTCCCAAATCCCAGAGCAGCAAGGTTCAGGCTGAACTTTGACAGGAATTTTCCCATTTTTTCTGGGAATATCCCAACCCTGGGGATCCTCATGGTTCTATTTTAATTCCCAAGGAACAGGGAAAATCCTGATGATCTTTTCCAGGCTAAACCATTCCATCATTTATGATTCTGCTACAATTCCATCTCCATTTTTTTGGGGTTTTTTTGAGATTCCTGGCTGAGGGATTATTCCTCACTTCCTAAACCCATAGAAATTCCCAATTTCCCAGATCCCAGAGCAGGAAACTGGGAATTTTCCTTTTTTTTTCTGGGAATATCCCAGCCCTGGGGATTCTCATGATTCTATTTTAATTCCCAAGGGACAGGGAAAATCCTGAAGACCTTTTCCAAGCTAAACCATTCCATGATTTATGACTCTCCTTCAATTCCATCTCCATCTTTTGGAGATTCCTGGATTATTCCTCATTTCCTAACCCCTCTTATCCCATAAAACTCCCAATTTCCCAGATCCCAGAGCAGGAAACTGGGATTTTTCCCATTTTTTTCTGGGAATATCCCAACCCTGGGGATCCTCATGGTTCCATTTTAATTCCCAATTCCTGTGCCCAAAAAACAGGGATAACCCTGAAATCTTCTCCAAGCTAAACCATTCCATGATTTATGACTCTGCCACAATTCCATCTGAATTTTTTGGGTTTTTTTGGAGATTCCTGGCTGAGGGATTATTCCTCACTTCCTAAACCCATAGAAATTCCCAATTTCCCAGATCCCAGAGCAGGAAGCTGATCTTTAACAGGGATTTTTCCCTGTTTTTTCTGGGAATATCCCAACCCTGGGGATCCTCATGGCTCTATTTTAATTCCCAATTCCCAAGGGACAGGGAAAATCCTGAAGATCTTTTCCAAGCTAAACTATTCCATGATTTATGACTATACCACAATTCCATCTCCATTTTTTTGATTTTTGGAGATTCTTGGCTGAGGGATTATTCCTCACTTCCTAAACCCATAGAAATTCCCAATTTCCCTGATCCCAGAGCAGGAAACTGGGAATTTTCCCTGTTTTTTCTGGGAATATCCCAACCCTGTGATATTCATGGCTCTATTTTAATTCCCAATTCCTGTGCCCCAGGAACAGGGGGAAAATCCTGAAGATCTTTTCCAAGCTAAACCATTCCATCATTTATGACTCTGCTACAATCCCATCTCCATCTTTTGGAGATTCCTGGACTATTCCTCACTTCCTAAACCATTTTATCCCAAAAAACTCCAAATTTCCCAGATCCCAGAGCAGGAAGCTGAGCTTTGACAGGAATTTTCCCATTTTTTCTGGGAATACCCCATCCCTGGGCTCTCACCACGGTCAGGTTCCGGATCTCCTCCATCACCCGTGGCCAGAAGCTCTGCAGGCTCTGCTGGGCATCGCTGCTCCCCGTGCCAAAGCCACCATCCGTGGACATGCTGGCACCTGGAGAGGAAAAAACACGGAAAAACCATCAAAAACAGGGAATAAACAGGAGGAGAACACCCAGGAGTGGTTTCAAAGTGATTGGGAAGAAATTCCTTCCTGTAAAGGGTGGGATGGATTTCCCACAGAGGTTGTGGTGGCTCATGCTTGGAAGTGTCCAAGGCCAGGTTGGAGCCATGGATCCATGGAGTGATCCATTCCTTCATCCATCCATGGGTCTGTCCATCCATCCATGGATCCATCCATCTCTCCATGGATCCATCCATTCCTTCATCCATGGATTGATCTATGGATCCATCCATCCATCCATGGATCCCTCCATAGGTTCATCCATTCCTTTGTCCGTCCATCCATCCATGGATCTGTCCATCCATCCATGGGTCTGTCCATCCATCCATGGGTCTCATCCATTCCTTCATCCATCCATGGGTCTGTCCATCCCTTCAAGGTCTCATCCATTCCTTCATCCATCCATGGGTCTGTCCATCC